GTGTGTATGTACATATACACATATACTTTCTATAGATACTTCGCACCCGCCATATAGTATCCCCGCGTCCCTAGAATCGAAAAATCACTCTCCCTCCAAACACAAACAACCAGACCTCAATCCCAACACGAATGTAAACTGTAAAAATCCCAAATCGCGCCGCTCTCTTTCCCCTGAAACCGGAACATCCGCTTTACCCTTCCGTCCGTGGAGACAGTGAAGAGCTCAGAGCGTGTCTTGTGGGCCATCCACGTGAGCGCCGTGACCGTCTGCGCGTGACTGACTTCCAGCGACGTCGACTCCACGGGGCGGGGGCCTTGCCGCGTGTCCCACCACGACACCTGCCCGTTGTAGAGCCCTGCCGAGGAGGACCGAGGTGGGAATAGCACTCAGGGGAGGAGGGAGATGGGTAGGTAGGGGTAGGTAGGTAGTAGTAGGTAGTAGGGTAGGTAGGTAAGGTAGTAGGTAGGTAGTAGATAGGTAGTAGGTAGGTAGGTAGGTAGGTAGGTAGGTAGACAGACAGACAAATCGATAGATAGAATGTGTCAGTCAAGACACCTGCTCGTTGTGGTCTCCTACCGAGGAGGACCGAGGGGTGGGAATAAGTGAGGGAGGAGGTAGGCAGGTAGATGGATAGAGATTGATTGATAGGTAGGTAGCAGTAGTATTGGTAGGTAGGTAGGTAGATTGATTGATAGGTAGGTAGGCAGGTAGGTAGGTAAACTGATTGATAGGTAGGTAGGTAGGTAGGTAGACTGATTGATAAACAGATAGATAGAATGAGTCAGTCAAGATTGCCAAGGAAGACGGAGGTGGTAAAAAAATAAAAGTTAGAAAAAATGAAGGTAAGCATGCAGATTTATGAAAACCGGAATATCTGAATGGATAGATTCATAAATAGGTAAATAATTAAATAGACAGATAGCTATATAGACATGCAGATAGGGATTAATAGATAGGGGCAGATAAGTAGATGGATTGGCTGTTTGATACCTAAAAAATAGATCGTTTGACAGATTGATAAATAGATGGATAGATAAATAGGCAAAGAAGTAAATAGATAGATAGATAGGCATATAGATAAACAGATAGATTGACATACATACATACGCAGATAAATAGATAAATATATAATAATTTAACAAATTTAGATGTAAAGAGATAAAACGAAGAGATAAATAAGTAAATAAACATAAAATTAGAAGATAAAAGAAAGAGGAGCATAAAAAAAAACAAAAAACAATAAAGTCACACGGAAGTAAAAAAAACGAAAATAAAAGAAATGAACAATTAAGAAATACCAGAAAACTCACAGGAAAACAGATAAGTAAATCACCTGAATGTCCTAATTGAAAAGTTTATAACGAGCGCATAACCTGTTCAGAAAAACACCTATTGCGCAAGACTTTTGTAGGAGTATTACATGTCAAATTCTTTTTGATATTGATAATATGAATGTCTGTGTGAATGTCTATATATCTTTCCATCTATTTATCCGTCTATCTATCATGCTGTCCATCTGTATATCCATAACGTTTACCTGTCCGTCGATCTTTGTATGTATATATCCATCAAGGTATCACACACACACACACACACACACACACACACACACACACACACACACACACACACACACACACACACACACACACACACACACACACACACACACATTAAACCAATTCCACTGTACGATTTTTTTTTCGTGTTCATTTAATTTTTTCTCGCAATATACATTTCATAACGGTAAAGAACTCATAATGGTTTGTTTCATTTTCGTTTTTTTCTTAATAACGGTTCGTGGAATTACTGTCAGAGAAGAGGATGAAATACCGAGTGAAACAGAACAGTTATTAGGGGCATAACAGGAACAAAAGTTCACGGTAACCTGTCTGTATTCTTGCTTTGGGTAACATGACCAAGTCGAATTTTCATTATGAAAAAGGGAATTAAAGAGAGAGAGAGAGAGAGAGAGAGAGAGAGAGAGAGAGAGAGAGAGAGAGAGAGAGAGAGAGAGAAACCTTTTAATTCCGAACTGCGAAAGGGATTTGGAAAGACAGGGAGTTTACATCAACGGTAGATTTACCAACAGCGGGCGAGGTTGTGGTGAAAATAGGTGGTGAGTGGGAGAAAAGAACTTATGATGTGCGGTTCATGCGTTTATGTACGTCGGTGTGAAAGAAATGGAAAAACGCTGAATGACTATTTATCGAATCTATTTATCTACAAGTTTGTCTGTCTATCACTTTCTTTTCTTCTCTCTTTCTCCCTCATCCTCTCTCTCTCTCTCTCTCTCTCTCTCTCTCTCTCTCTCTCTCTCTCTCTCTCTCTCTCTCTCTCTCTCTCTCTCTCTCTCTCTCTCTCTCTATATATATATATATATATATATATATATATATATTATATATATATAGCTAGTTCATCTGTCTCTAATCAATCTATAAACATAAATGAAATCATGCTTATAGATGCACACACACACACACACACACACACACACACACACACACACACACACACACACACACACACACACACACACACACACTCACCACACACACACACACACACACACACACACACACACACACTCACTCACACACACACACACACTCACACACACACATTAAACCAAGCCCATTGAACGAAATCTTTTTGTTTTTGTTTCGTCTGTTTATTTTATTTCTTATCGATATATATCATAATACGGTAAAGAACTCCTATTGGATTGTTTTATTTTTATTTTTTCTCTTAATTACTGTTCGGGGAATTAATCTTTGAGAGGATGAAATACTGAGTGAAAGAGGACAATAATTAAGGGAATTACACCAACTAAATTTAACGGTAATCTGCCTGTATTCTTGCTTTGGGTAACATGACCAAGTCGAATTTTGAAGTTATGAGAAAAGAAAGACAGAAGAGAGAAACATTTTAATTCAGAAATGCGGAAAATTGGCTTAACTGTGAGAGGGATTTTGAAAGACAAAGGGTTTACATTGACAGCAAATTTACCAATAGTGGACGAGGATGTGGTAAAAATAGATGGAGGAGAGCGGAAGAAAAGAACTTATTTGGTGCATGCGTTTATACACATCAGTGTGAAAGAAATGGGAAAATGCTATCTAATCTTTATCTACTCGTGTGCCTGTCTAGCACTCTCTCTCTCTCTCTCTCTCTCTCTCTCTCTCTCTCTCTCTCTCTCTCTCTCTCTCTCTCTATATATATATATATATATATATATATATATATATATATATATGTAGCTAGTTCATCTACTTTTCTATCTCTAATCTATCTATATACATAAATGAAATCTTGCACATAGCGGTATACACACACACACGCACACACACACACATACACACTTTTTTCATGAAAGACAAATGAGCACAGCAGAGAGAAGCATTCTACATGGCAATGAGTAACCAGCGGAGTGCCTCAAGGTGTTGGCGCCATGTTTACCATTTTCGCCAATGAAATAACATCAAACATAAGCCTAGGCAGTTGCAGACGACATGAAAATACAAAGACGGACGGTAATTGCCGTTTCATGCCAGTGCCTCCAAAGTGACACTGAGAACATACTCACGTGGCGTTGTACTTGGTAAATTTAATTCAACACCAATAGATGTCACGTAGTCAGGTTCGGAGAAAGTAGAAATCGCCCACTATTCTAATATCAATTAATAGACGCAATATTAAACACAGCTGACAGGAAAAAGACCTTGGGTAATCATAAACAGAAAACTAAGCCCAAATGATCAAGTAAATGAAAAGGTCCACAAAATGTCAGGACTGATTGACAACATTAAGAGGGCATTCGTGTATCTGGACGAGGTTATGGTAAAGATCATTGCAGTAACTATAAGACCTAGTCTAGAGTACGGTGCAGTGGTATGGAGTCCACACTTAAAAAAGAGATATAGACAAACAGGAAAGAGTTCAAAGAGCGGCTACAAGATGGGCACCTACTCTAAGAGATATGAGCTACGAAGATAGATGCAGAAGCTAGGAATTACTACTTTGGAAAAGAGAATGAAGAGTGAATTTCGACAAAGATGACATAATAATCTTGAACGCAAGAAGGACGAGATGATAAGATAAAAACTGAAAGTAAAAAGAGGCAATAAAGATGTCAAAAACGTTGTATGGGCCAAAATTGTGCATCAATTTAGAGTTATACGACAATTTGAATAAAGCAGACGGGGCTATCTGAGCTCAGCTCTTCTACCGTATTAAAATTACTAGTTAAGAAGGTAAGAACACAAACACACGCTCACACATACACACATACACACCCGCACACACATGCGCGCACTTACTCACCCACCCACTCACACATAGATACACACGCGCGCGCACATGCACACGCACACATACATACAAACATAAGCACTCAGACAGACACACACACACTCATACACACACACACACACACACACGCACACACACACACACACACACACATATGTATATATAGATGGATCGATAGGTTATTCCAAGTAGTACAACCTGAACCCTTGTAATGGCACAGAAATAAACCCACAGTGGTTCAGTTTAACGACCTCCAGGAAGCTAAACGATTCACCCTTACCTGCGGCAATAACATGCGGGTCTTTGGGATTATACTGTAGATACTGCAACCACGAGGGCGCGTGCAGGTCCAGCTCAGGGCTACTGCTGCAATCTGGAATGGGGGGGAGGGGGGGGGTCAGTCTCTGGTACGTATTTTGTGCTTTAGTTGAAGATTGCCTCAAGAACGGTGGAATAACATTCAATTTCGAAGGCATTATGCACACACACACACACACACACACATGCACACACACATGCACACACACACGCACACACATATACACACGCACACACACACGCACACACATTAACAATATACATGTGTGTGTGAACGTATGTACACACACACACACACACACACACACACACACACACACATATATGTATATATCTCTGTGTATGTATACATGCACACACACGTATATGCAAATCTATACATATACACCCGTACACATCAGCTCAAACGCCCCTCACCCCCTCCCCCTACCCCTCGTTCCCTCAGACCCGTACTTATATCCCAAATGTAGGACATCTTCGGCGTCGTCTCCTTCAGAGCCATGAACTTGGAGGACGAGTAGCGGCGGCGATCTTGTGACCTCCCTCGGGAGCGAAACTCACCGAGGTCACCATCCTCTGACCTCCGTGCGGGTCCCGGATCACGTTCACGGTCTTGATGGGGTCGGGCTCCTCCACCATGGGGCTCTCCTCCGCCTCGAAGTACATCTCGTAGATGTCGATGGCGTTGTTCTGCGGATGCAGTGCTCGATCTTCTGCGGGGAGGGGGGGGTGGAGAGGAGGGAGGTGAGAGAGGAGGGGTGGGAGGGGAGGGAGGGAGGGGTGGGGGGAGGGGGAGGGGGGGGTGAGAGAGAGGGAGGGGGAGGGTGGGCGTGAGAGAGGGAGGGGAGGGGGTGGGCGTGGAGAGAGAGGGGGGGTGTGAGAGAGGAGGGAGGGGGTGGGTGAGAGAGGCGAGGGGGGTGGGGTGAGACAGGGAGGGGAGCGGGTGGGGGGTGAGAGAGGGAGGGGGTGGGTGGGGTGAGAAGGGAGGGGGAGCGGTGGGTCTTGAAGAGGTTTAGGGGAGATGGGGGTGGGGGTGAGAGAGGGAGAGGGGTGGTGGCGTTTTGAGAGAGGTTAGGGAAGGGGAGGGGGTGGGGGTGAGGGGGAGGGGGTGAAGAGAGGGAGGGGGAGGGGGTGGGGTGAGAGAGGGAGGGAGGGCGTGGGGTGAGAGGGGAGGGAGGAGGGGGTGGGCGCTGAGAAGAGAGGGAGGGGCAGGGGTGGGGTGAGGAGAGGGAGGGGGAGAGTGGTGGGGTGGAGAGGGAGGGGAGGGGGGGGTGAGAGAGGAGGAGGGAGCGGTGTGGGGTGAGAGAGGGAGGGTGGGTGGGGTGAGAGGGAAGGGGAGCGGGGTGGCGTAGAGAGGGAGGGAGGGGGGTGGGGGTGAGAGAGGGAGGAGCTGGTGAGGTGAGAGGAGGGAGGGTGGGTTGGGGTGAGAGAGGGAGGGGAGCGGTGGGGGTGAGAGAGAGGGGGGTGGTGGGGGTGGAGAGGGAGGGGGAGCTGGTGGGGTGAGAGAGGTAGGGTAGGGGTGGGGGTGAGGAGGGAGGGGGTGGGGTGAGAGAGGAGGGGGAGTGGGGTAAAGGGAGGGGAGCGCGTGTGGGGTGAGAGAGGGAGGGGAGGCCGCTGGTCGGGGTGAAGAGAGGGAGGGGATGGGGGGGGTGAAGAGAGGAAGGGGGTGAGGGAGGGGGGGGTGAGAGAGGCGGGGAGGGGGTGGGGGTGAGAGAGTGGAGGGGGATGGTGGCGTGGGAGGGAGGGAGGGTGGCGTAGAGACGAGGAGGGGGGGGTGGGAGGTGAGAGAGGGAGGGGAGAGGGTGGGGTGAGAAGAGGGAGGGGAGGGGGTGGGGTGAGAGAGGGAGGGGGAGCGGGTGGGGGTGAGAGAGGGAGGGGGGTTGGGTGGGGGTCTTGAGACAGGGAGGGGGAAGCGTGGTGGGGGGTGAGAAGAGGGAGGGGGGTGGGTTGGCGGGTGAGAGAGGGAGGGGGAGCTGGTGGGGGTGAGAGAGTTAGGGGAGGGGTGGGTGAGGAGAGGAGGGGTGGGGGTGCGGTGAGAGAGTAGGGGAAGGGGAGGGGGTGGGGGTGAGGAGGGAGGGGGTGAGAGAGGAGGGAGGGGGTGGGGGTGAGAGAGGAGGGAGGGGTGGGCGTCGAGAGAGGAGGGGAGGGGGTGGGGGCGTGAGAGAGGGAGGGGAGGGGTGTGGTTGTAGAACGGGGTGAGAGAGGGAGGGGAGAGGGTGGGTAGAGAGGGAGGGGGAGGGGGTGGGTGGAGAGAAGGGAGGGGGAGCGGGTGGGGGTGAGAGAGGATGGTGGTGGGTGGGGCTGAGAGAGGGAGGGGGGAGCGGGTGGGGGTAGAGAGGGAGGGGGCTGGGTTGGGGTGAGAGAGGGAGGGGGGAGCTGGTGGGGTAGAGAGGTAGTGGGGAGGGGGTGGGGTGAGGGAGGGAAGGGGTGGGGGTGAGAGAGGGAGGGGTGGGGGTGAGAGAGGGAGGGGAGCGGGTGGGGGTGAGAGAGGGAGGGGAGGCATGGGTGGGTAGAGAGAGGGAGGGGGAGGGAGGTGGGGGTGAGAGGGGAGGGGGGTGGGTGAGAGAGGCAGGGGCGAGGGAGGTGGGGGTGAGAGAAGGGAGGGGGAGGGGGTGGGGGTTGAGGGAGGGATGGGAGGGTGGGTGAGGAGCGAGGGGGAGTGGGTGGGGGTGAGGAGAGGGGAGGGGGAGCGTGGGGGTGAGAGAGGAGGGGGAGGGGAGGGGGTGGGTGAGTAAGGAGGGGGAGGGGGTGGGGGTGAGATAGGGAGGGGGTGGTGAGGTGGCGGTGAGAGAGGTAGGGGAAGGGGAGGGGGTGGGGGTGAGGGAGGGAGGGGTAGAGAGAGAGGGGAGGGGTGGGGTGAGAGAG